GTAAAAGGGGAAAAATGGGGAAGGATCCCATAGGTAAATATGCCAAAAGAGATCCACCCTTTTGGACAGGCCAGGAGGAGCTGCACTGAGCTTGTCTCAGCTAGAAGTCACTCTTAGACTTTGCATAGCTTATGGGTGGAGTCATAGTTTAATGGTTTCAGTCAGTTTTGCCTTAGACATCTTTTTTTGGGTGTATTTTGCATAGAGTACAAAACAGAAGGCTGTAGGCCCCCTTCCCTTATGGGCTCTGCCCCTACCTCCCCATTTTTGTAATTAACGAGACCCTTAGTTGAGTTCAGTGTTGTAACGTAAGCAACTGTACAAATCAATGTCAGAACAGTCACTCTGGTTGTAGTACTTTAGGGTTCACTCGTTTTCTCTGTACTGCTTATTTGCCTTTCTTACTGTGTTCAGCATTTTCCTGTCATTTAATATGAGCTGTTCTCAAAAGATTCTTGTTCAAAGAAAGGAGAAGCTCGTTATCTGGATGTTAAGACTCATTGGGTTGAATGTGGAAGTGGGGATCAGAGTAATTTATTTTCAGAGCACACCTGTAGTGCAATAAAATAATTTGCATAGAGTGCACTATACAGTGTTCAAAGTTCAAGGATTTGTAAATATGTTTTTCTGCAATGCTGGATTTGCTCCATGTGCAGGCCATGGCTCCTTACTCTTTCCATTACTGCTGTTTACTCAGACTGGCCGCCTGGTCAAGGCAAGAAGAACAGAGCAAATGACCTCCTGTTAGTGCCAAGTTGCTGGGTTGTGGCTTGGTGAGAGCTTTCTCTAAGAGACGCCTTCAGGGACTGGTCTTTGAATACCACCTGATAGATTGAATATAGGTGAAAGTTGGGGGGTTTGTGATGCATTCATCCTTTCTCATAGGACTCTTTCTAGAAATAATATTGCTGAACAGCAGTGCACAACTACATTTAACCTTGATTGAGTAAAGTGTTATTTGCTTCCTCTTATAACTGTGCAATGTGGTGTTATAAGATTGTACTCCACAGATGGCTCTTCTTCAGTGGAAAAGGGTGGAAACGTGTGTACAGATAACTGCAGTGCACACACACAGAGGTATATGTGTGTATATATATGCGTATATAAATATGTGTGTGTATATACACATACGCTATTTCATGTGTGCTTTCATTTATAACATACCATTAAAAGTAGAGAGACAGACCCCAAGATCTTTATATTATTGTTTTCCAAAATCTCAGCTCAGCTAGAATCCCTTTTTAACGTGGTTTACAGAGGAAATGAGGCTTTTGTGGTTATTCTGTCTGTGTGTTGGCTTTTGCATTTGGCCTGTAACAATCTTTGAGTCCCATCGCTATTTTTAATTAAATTTGACATGGGGTAGAAGTCTCAAAGATATGAAGTTCTTACAGGATTAATGAAAACTGGCTGCCAAGTACAGGCGGAAAATCTGTTAATACTCCATCTGAAAGAAAGAGTGAAGCTTGAGCTCACTCCTTTGAGACAATGAAATATTATGAATGCCCCAACCGTGGGAAAAACTTCAATCAGTGCTCACATCTTACTAGGCACTAGAGAATCCAACCACAAGATACACATTCATAGGAAACCAGGCTTCATTAGTTCCACCATTCGTTTTGATACATGGCATATGATTAAAAGAAAACTGAACATAGTATGTGTCCTTCCCCTTGAGGCTTCACACCCTTAACCAGGTTTGTCTGCACAAAAGGGAGATTTGAGGATTTGGCCCTAAACTAATGAAGAGCACACCCCTTCCAATATCCTGACTCAAAAATTTTTCCAAGTATGGGATGAGACACCGCTGTAAGCATAAATCTGCCATAAACTTGTATCAAAGAAAGGCATATACAGGATGAAATGGAGAAAATCGCAGTTTAGTTTTCACAGGGGAAGTATTCTTGAGCATGCTGCTGTACACTTCCAAGCAAAGGTGTGGAAATTGTGTTAGTGGGACTTTATACTCACCCTGAACAAAGTGCTAGAATGATTTCCAAACAAGGAACACCCTTGCATTACGATAAAGGAGGTGACTTGCAATTTTCAAGTCAACAAAAACCCCAGTACTTCGAATAATACACAGAACTTTGCCAAAGTTTGGGTTAAAGCTCAATCCAGTCCTGTTCCTGTGATTAATGTCATACTGCAAATTCTTTCTCTCATGCACAATTGCTCCCATAGGTGATATTGGAAATTTATTCTGATTGAGATAATGTATATAGCTTTCAAAAATAGGATGTATTGATTGATTAATTTATAAAGCAAGTTCCATGCACATTGTCTGAAAATACCATTACGTTGTTTAGGAATACTGTGGAGATCAATTGTCTGCTAGACTGTGATGAGGAAGAAGATTTTAAAGGAAAGTGACTGAAATCTGAATCCAGGGAAAATGCTGTCAGAATGCTTCTTCTCAGATCTCTAATGTGCATTGGTTTTGGTTACTGCTGGGCTGGAAAACTTATGCAAGACACACGATTTGGTTTATTTAGCCTCTGTTGCTGAAGCAAAGTGTCATAGGATCTTTTGGTTTGGAAATTCACCTGATTATGAAGAAGGAAAAATAAGAGTTTAGCTGAATTGAATTTTCAAGGCAAAATTACACAGGAGCTTGAATACAAAAATCTTTTTAGTTCACATGCACACGTTTTCTCAGGCACATTTTTATTTGCACAAGTATCAAGCATGAAAATTATGTAGAATTCCAGAAACTGCAGAAGTTGCAGAAGGCGAAACCATATAACACAGTACCTGAAATTCTGGGATGACTTCTCTGACTTTGGATCAATAAGTTGAAATTCAATATTAAGTGCATAGTGTAATTTTTAAAAAAGAAGTGAATTTACCAAACTAAGTTCCTAAGAGTGTTTTGCTAATCCTCAAGTTTTACTGTTTTCCAAGAAGAGCCGGTATTCTACCTCACCTCTATCTGATACTGTAATAAGTTCTTTATCATTCATACTTCATCCATTCATAGCTAATTGTCTTAAATTGTCTTAAAACCCAAGTTAAATAAATAACTCAATATATAATCAACCCATATAATCCCAGATGTGTATGTATTGACTGTCAAACACACAGTATTGCTTAAAGGTTCTTATATATCAAGTATATGAGATAAATTACATACATGTTGTATGCTGAACACCTTTATAACCAGAATAATAAATGTAAATGCTTCCTTTAGTTTCTCCCTCACAATACTAAGTCACTTGGCTTTAACATGGGACTAAAAATGTCTTCTCTTCTAACTTGCATAAATTTACTGACTAATATGATAGTCGTCTTTTATTTGGCCAGAGTGGGACAATAAGTATCTCTCTTAATTTTTAATATCTTATACCCCGTCACAGATTGGCTAGAATTAAGCACGGAAAGCAACTGTTAAGACATCCATGGTTTGATTTTGCCATTCTGTATAGCTACAAAAAAGGCCCTGAACTAGGTTATATTGTAAAGCACCATTCCCTGTGATAAACTTCCTAAGACTTTGGCTTTTTAAGCAATTCTCAGTAACGTCTCTCTCCCTCTCCCTCTCTAAATATATGTAAGGGGGAGGGAAGAGAGAGAAACTTGTAACTTTTAAAAGTTATATAATTTATTTTAAATGACAGAGGAAAATATCAACCCAGATGATTTCCAGGCTGCCAGTGTTTTTCCTGACTCCTTTTCTTCTACCAAAAAGGTTGCTGGTATGAGCTTGCAGGGGGTCAGGCGGTGCTCTCAATGGAATTTTTCTCATTGTCCTCAGTGGGTAAACAACCAGCACCAATGACTTTACCTTTCACAAGTCCATTTTGTATTTCATCCTCTTTTCAATTCCAAGGTGAAGTTTAGCTGCATGCACATGCCATCCTGATGTCTAACATTGTTTTTTACAGACTTTGTGGCTTTCAATTTACAATATTTTTGAACAACGATTTGGGTTTTTTGCCTGTGTATTTATATAACAGTCTGAAGCCTTTATAATATTTAACAAATTACTTTACCAAACTCTTGAAGAATGTCTATGGTTATAATGTATATTTTTAAACTATGCAACATCAAACCACTGAAAGATAATGTAAAACATCAAGAATACCTGTATTTGGGGAATTTTGTATGCCTTCACTGGAAAGATTAAGCATGTGATAAATATGTGACTTTTTTCTAAAATATAATAGAAGTAGGGTGGAGTTTTTTAAGTATAAATAAAGTAAAGGACAGTTTTACTCATGGTGCTAATGTTAAAATAAGTACAGAGAAAGGTTTGTGTCACAGAAAATGCTGTCTTGGGGGTGGGGTCACTCCAAAAGGCTGTTTCTATTACAACGATGGCTGTCTCTTTTACAAGATCTTTGACCATCTGATTATTTGGTGGTTTGAAATGTATGATTTGTGATATTTGTTACTATGAACTGTTACGGACAGTGCTGACACAGATCAGATAAGAAACTGGGTCAGCTGACAAGATATTCCCTGTAACATTATCTCCCTGTAGCATTAACATGTGGGTCCTTCTGTGTGATGGAGTTTCTGAACATGGGTTGTCAACTGTATAGTTTCATTGCACTTATTGAAAAGTCTTTTCTCTCTCCTAAAAAAACCCAAAAATAAAAAAAGGAAAACATGTTTAAACCGCATTTATCTTTAAATTAGAAAAAAAAAAAGTAAAACTATTTAGTATTTAATTTCTCAAACCTTGGCAGTTTTCCTGTATCGCTCTGTCAGGCGCCTTGTCTTTTCACGGCTTCATTTCTGATTACGGATTATTCATTTATGGATGGGCAGCTGTAGAAACTTGCTTCTTGCATATGCAAATCAATCATGGTAGTGTTTATCATAAGGAGAATTTGTGGCAGTGGAAAAGGGGTTGTGGCAACATGTTCTTGATTTCAATTGTATCTTCTACAAATGGAATTGACTTCCTCACTTCAGTGGATTTTTTTTTTTTTTTTTGCCATTTACCTCTTGGACTAGACACTGCTCACTAAGCAAGCTGTTCGATTCACTTACAGATCATGATTTTGGAAGGAGCTGGCAGAATGAGTATCAATTCCAGCAGCAATCTACTCCACCAGCAGCCTTCCTGGACAGACGGATATTCCACATGCAACGGTAGGAGGAATTCAGCAGCTCTGAGCCATGTTTTTGGGGGGGAGGCAGGGATAAGGGGGCTAGTACACCTTTAAGCATGCATAAGTATTATTTTTTCAGTAATACTAATTCACTGGAGTTTCACTTCTGGTAGGAAAAAATTCCATTTGTTACTTTATTTGTAAAAAGCTGAACTTGCAACACTAAGTTTCTGAATGTGACCGGTTTATGGTTTATTTTCTTATTGGTTCTTCTTCTTAAAATGAATTTAGTGGTGTTAAAAGTGCCAAAAGTTCCCTCTCCTCAGTCCAGAATTCATTCTCTCTTACCTTTACCCCTCATGCCTTCTCTGAACCAACAACACTCTTCAATGCTAATCACCCCTCCGGCTTTCCAGGGGAAATAGTCTTTTTGCTCTTTTACTGTATTTGCTTTGTCAGCTCAAATTACTAGATAACTTTCTAATTTAGACTGGCATTGGGGCGCTAGGTAACTTGTGATCTGAGAAATTTTCTTTTTTTTTCTTACTGTTTTCTGATTATATGTCTGTATATATAAAAATGTTCATATATATACTCTCAGTATAAAAATATAGATATAGACATATATCTATATATATAGTGTTTGATACAATTTTTTAAATCTTTCTATCACTCAGTCAATGGGTAAACCTTAAAATCTAAGCACACAAACACATACTGCAGTTGTCCTTCTAATCCAAATAATGCTGCAACAAAACTTAGAATGAAAGTTCCCACTCAGTGAAACTCATTCTTTTTTATGTGTAATCTCTAAATAAACAGGAATACATAAGCATGCACGTGCCGACCTGTCTGTATCAGATTCACGGGGAAAAAAAGTCCTGGCTGAGCTGCACGTTGCACAGAATTTCATGAAGGGAACTGGTGGCATGTATTTTCATGTTTCCAGGGTGAAACTCCTCAGGATTCATTTATGTTTTAGAGGGACAGGAAGCCGAAAGCTCAGACCAGCCTCTACAATCATTCACCACTTCCTTTTACCTAGCTACTCTTTCTTCTCACTAAAGGCTCTCCATTTACTTTAGGAGTCTGGTGGCCTCTGAAATTGCTTTACCCTTCTGAAGTGATGGGAAGACATATCAACCTCCTTTTCAGGGAATACCTGACAGCTCCATCAGATCTTTATTCTCTGACATACCACACTCTTAACCATTTCCATACTCATTCCCCAAATCTTTCAACAGGAGGATGAGAAACAGTCTTGCAAACTCCCTAAGTTACTGAATCAGACCTTGTTAGCCAATATTGATAAAGAAACCTAAGTAACTGTGGGGCTTTTTTTGTGTTTATCTGGAAACCGGCATTGTGCACTCTATCTCAACCGAAGAGACCTTTGGTTGTGTAGAATGTTGCTCATGGTCCTCTAGCAATATCCATTGCTATCAGTATTTCTCACAGCTGTATGGGTAATCTTTTTCTTGGGGAGACTGAGAACGGACTGGTGCCACATCCTGGAGTGGAGCTACTGTACAGCTACGCCATGGCAGCCTTCCCTCCTCCCATAATTCAACCGCCTCTGCAATCTCTCATCCTTAAACCCTTCATGCACTTGTGAGCATTTTACCATGCTCTCGTCTCTGCCTGGCATAATCCTTTGTCCTCCTTTCCAAAGGAATAAATTGCACTAAACTCCTTTTGCCAGCCCTTCTCTGAGTGCAAACCAAAGCAGTCCTGCCTTTGCTCTTATACAATTACCCTGTTCCAACATACAATTTCTTTCATTTGCACATGTAAATTATTGCTGTGTAATGACATACAACCGAGCGCAGTTTAAAAGACTGCCAAGAAAAGATTCAGACATCCTAACAAGAAAATTAGGCAGCTTCCGTAACTAAAAATGAGGTTTATAACTGCATTCAGAAATTGCCTTACCTGACTACAGAAATAATGTGCATTCACCAGAACGCAAGTTCTGTCATGAAGCTGTGGGCCATACTGATAGGCTTTTACTGTGGAGCAGTATGAGAGTGCCTCAGCTTTTACTGTTATTTGATTGAATCCCACAAGTCATATTCAGTCCTTATCAAGTCTTTATTCAAAGAAAATTTCTACAACACATTATAAAAATTTTGCAAGGCTTTCCCATCATTTTCTGAATCACTAAAATTATTTTTCCCCACAAGGATCAACATACCTTTTCAACAATAATTCTGTAAGGTATCTTCCATCAAAGAATTTTGGTGTGTTTAGCCTACATTAATAAATTAGTTCCTATATACTTAATCTGCCATGTAATATAATAATTCCCAATTTTAATTGGAAAACTGAGGCAAAAAAAAAATAATACCTTCTCCAGCAATAGCTACTGAGTTACTGTTAAGGACTGAGAAAAGAATGTAGATCTGTAGGCTTCCAAAGCATGCAGTTTAGCTATAGAACTTTCCTGTTGTCCGCAAAATCCCACGGGGCTAACAGAGACAGTAAACACCTATTTTCTTTTCCAGTATCCAGCAGCTTCTATGGAACCCAGTGGCATGAAATACACCCACAGTACTGGACTAAGTTTCAAGTCTGGGAATGGCTGCAGCATCTCCTTGATACCAACCAACTGGATGCCAACTGCATACCCTTTCAGGAGTTTGATATCAACGGGGAACATCTGTGTAGTATGAGCCTGCAGGAATTCACTCAGGCAGCTGGGACAGCAGGGCAACTGCTTTACAGCAACCTTCAGCACCTAAAATGGAATGGTAAATAGATATTAGGCAGAAACACACATACAGTGGTCTGAATTCTGGGATCTTCAGAAGCTGGTTACGTTCCCCCAGAGACCTACCTGGCAGATCTTGTCTGCTATGTTTGCTACACTGCTCATACCTCATTCACTGTATTGCTAAATTGCTTAGATATGAAGTAAGGCAGAAATCTGAAGGACCGGGGGAAAGGGTATGTTTCCTGCTCCAGAATTAGTCCTCTGGCTCAGCTGTAGCAGTTGCTGCATGGAGCTAACACCTTTGATTCTTCCGTGCTTGTTGTCATGTGTCCTGCCGTATGTTTTCTTGCAGGTCAGTGTGGAAGTGACATGTACCAATCTCATAACGTCATTGTGAAGACAGAGCAAACAGGTGAGTAAGAGTTGGGTAACGTGTCTTTTGATGGTGGCCAAAAGGGGAAATGGCCCATTCCAAGAGAGGTATCAAAATGACATTAAATAAAATGGAAAGTGTACGATGCAGAATAAAAGAAGTAACACAAATATCAGTCAATGTCTAATTTTTGAAGTTTCGGGCAGTACTACTATATCTTAGTTTACATGTGGCCACTTTTCCTGGGAGATCTCTGCAGTATCATCAGTCTACACTGATGTTCAGAGTTGGAATAGTTTGCAGTGTGCAGCGAGTCCGGTTTTGTAGAGGACTACATTCTGTGCTTCATTTATCAGATTTCAAAACAATTATTTTCAGAGTATTCTCAGTTTAAAAAAAAGATTAAAATATATTTGTGTGAAGTACTGTTAATGTTTGAAACGTGAGGAAATTTCCAAACACAACAACTTTGAGAGAAAAAGTGTTATTTTTCAATTTCTTCACATATTTCAATGAAACTGAAATTCAGGTAGCATTTTGGTTTGATCGAATCCTCATTTTTCCCATGGCAGTCTTTTTTTCCCCAGTTTGTTCATAGCTAGATCCCTTTCCTCCCAGGACTTCGTTTCACTGAGAAAAGAACTTCAGCTTAGTTCAATCCTCCTCTTCAGGGACAATTATTTTCCTGTTCCATTTGCGAGACCACCTCTGTCCATGTCCAAACACTCTCTATCCCACCAATACCAGCCTTTTTGTATGTAGATGTGTTCATGAGCCACGTTTTAATACCACCTGGCAGAACTAATACAGATTCATAGCGTGCGATGTCTCCACCAAATCCTGCCAGCCTGTTTATTCAGCTAATTCAGAGGACCCCAGCGTCTCCAGCCAGGGACACCATTCACCTCCTTGCACTGGGCAAGCATTGCAATCTGCAATGCACTCCTTGCCTGTGCCCATGTAGCAGAGGTGATGTGCATGCAGCAGCCTTGATGCTTGCCATATGGGAAACTACAGTAATCATTTAAGTCCTGATTTATGAGATCTTGGTATAATATTAGTTCCTCCTCCCACTAGAGATACACAGTGCAGTGCAAAGTACCTCAGCTGCACATCCTGGGCAGGTGAAAGCCCAGGACTAATTGATGATTCCCCTAGCTGTGCTGAATCAGGAGCTGGGGGGGGGCTCTGATGATGCCAACCACGGGCAGTGGGAGCGGGTTTAGTTTCTGCGTGGGGAGGAGCAGGCGGTGCAGACTGGGGCTGCTGGGGAAAGGACTCCTTGTGAGCCAGTGGGTACGGGGCTGTTGGTTTAGAGGGGAAGCCTGCCTCATCCCAGTAGACTGTCACAGTTGCAAAAACGTGGATACTGAAAAAGGCCAAAACGGGAAGACAAGCTGTGCCGCCATGTTCTGGCTAGGTACGGCCTGTTTTCAGAGACAACACTGGGCAGATCAGGTGTCCAAGCAAGCAAAGGGTGTGTGCTATTGCAGAAACACAAGCTCTTGGTGCCCAAACATGCAGCTGTTACTTAGCATGCCTGCTAAATTCCTATGTCATATAAGTGGTAACTCAGCCAAACATGACGATTTAGCTATAATTAATTCTTGTTTTTTTAATTTCATTTATATGAACATGAAAAAAAATTGAGTACAACCTAGATTTGAACCTTACTTCTCATCTTTTCTGACCTCGATTCAAAAAAAAAAAAAAAAAGATATTTTTAAGGCTTCTGACCTAAAAAATGCACTGTGAAGAGAATAATTTCCTGATCAATGTACAGATGATAGCTCCATCTGACCAGAAAGTCACTAAAAATTATTCCTCTTTAATCATGAAGGTAGTTTTTAGGTTAAGGATGGGAACTTGATGTGCCTGGAATAAAATGGCCCTTCATCTAGGATTAGGCTTTGATGTTTCTCACTATGTGCTTACACATGAAGCTCTGCTCCAGAGGGGACTTTAGCATTCTACCATTATAGAAAAATATACTCATTATAAACATCCTCCTGTTTTACTAGATATTTGAGAACACTTTCATCTCTGTGGCACCAAAGCACTGTCATAATCACCAGGGGCTGGGAATTCAGGACTGGATTGGGTAGAATTAGAGGTGATCTGGCATAGAAAACCTCCTTTAAGGGAAAGCATAAATGATATACTAGCCAGGAAAAGGAAGAGCCTACTACATTATTTCTGAAAGTCAGTGCTTTGTGTAAATACATTTGCCTGAGTATGCAAAACCCCATCCATAATTTGAGTAAAAGGAAATAATTTCACGCATATCTTCTTGATTCCCTTCACAGCTCTTTTTGTGTATGTTTCTTAATCCCTCAGTGCTCAATATTCACCCCTGTGCTAACAAATGTTCTTTTAGTGACCTGATTTTCCTTTTGGTCCTTTACCTTCAGATCCATCTTTAATGGTGTCCTGGAAAGAAGAGAATTACCTGTATGACAGTGGCTATGGTAGCACAGTAGGTAACTAACATCACGATACTTCACGCATTTCTGAGATGGTTTTATGGTTGTCTGAGGCTATTACTATAAACGTCTTCTTTTTCGTTCCCAGAGCTATTGGACAGTAAAACATTCTGTCGTGCTCAGATTTCCATGACGACACCTAGTCACCAACCTCCTGGTAAGGAACCTGTAATTATATCGTTAGTTGTTTGTCACTTGTCCCAGAACTACCAACATATAATAGTCTCTGTGGTCTTCTGTTGCAGGATCAAATCTGAGCCTCCACTAATTTTAAACCAAGCAATACTGATTCTGACAGCTCTTTTAGCTATCATTATTACAATAGCTTCTCTCTGTCAAGACAAAGATCAAATTATCTGCAATCTCCACATATCTTTTAAAGTGACTGAGTCAAAGGGAAAGATCATAGAATCATAGAATCGTCTAGGTTGGAAAAGACCTTTAAAGATGTTAGTGTCAGAAAGATGAGACGTACACCTTTCTGTGCATGGGTATGAGCTGGGTATGGGCAAATGAGTGCCGTGGTCCTCCCTGGGAGTGGCCGTGTTTCCCTAGTGAGGCAGTGGTTCACACTGAGTAGGCTGCTAGTTTTGGGGTTGGCCGGGGGAAGCTGTAGGGCAGACACCAAGCCCTCTGCCCAGCTGCACCAGCAGAAGGGCTTGCTACTGGAGCCCACCTCAGCTGATGGCAGGGCAGGCACTGCACCCCTCTTCACCCTCCGTGGTGCTTCCACGAGGCAGGGATACAATCTGCCTGTTAAAGGGCAGGAGAAAGAGCTGTAGTGCCCAGTGAAAGTGCGGTCTGGTCACACACGTTGGGGCCATGTCCTGGGGGCAGGCAACAAGGCTGGAGGTGAGAGAGCGAGGAAAAGAGGAGAGCAGAGGTGGCAGGGGAGTGAGAAAGGGGGGGAGGAAAGGCAAGTTCTTCTCAGGAGGCTGTTAAGCAAACAGACCTGAGGGAGAAAGCTGTGGAAATCACGGGAGGATTAGAAAGGAAAGCACACTGCTGTAGGTACAGGCGCTATCTCTGCACTGTGGGCAACCCCGTGTCTCTGCACGTGGATGGCAGTCACAGCCACAGTGCCTGCCCCTTTGCTGTATCCCCCAGCCTCCCAGCACAGCCGGACTTGGCAAGAGACGTACATTTTAAACTAAAACTCTCAGCAATAAATACAAAAAAACAAAGGGAGGAAAACCTGACCAGAAGAAGAAAACCATCAAACCTTAAAAAAACCCCCAACCAAACACTCTGTTTGCTTTCTCCACTGCCTCCACCCACTCTCACAAGATGACTACCAGGATTTTGGAGCTCTCTGACAGGACTGGGGACCTGTCAAGATCCTGGCATGGTGTGTTTACCTGCTGACTGCTTAAGCCTAGAGCTAGGGTGGCACGCCAAGGGCACAGCCTCCTGTAAAAAATAAATTTGTATATCCCGTAAAAAAATGGCTCATTCCTGAATCATATGCAAATACTGTGCAACCTTTTGTCAAAAGTTTTGCAAGACAGCTTTGTTGAAACTGCATCATAACTCTTTTCATCTGTCAGCCCCAGCCTCCTAACATGGCATGTTTGAAACCGGTCTCCACGTAGGAGTGGAGGCAGAGCAGGAGGCTATTTACACAGCTGAAATCCAGAATAAATCACTAGCTAGGCAGAAGGCAACTGAACTTCCAAGAATAAATTGCCAGCTAAGTGGAGCATAACGAACATTTGCAAGCGAATTGTGGGATTTTAAAATGAGAAGGATTTATAGAAGAGGGCAAATAAAGGACTGGGTCCTTCTGTCCTCGCCTGGAGTTCCCAGACTTTTAATAAAATCAAGGGAATCATAATCTGAGGAATGGCAGTGAAATAAGCTTCATTGTACTTCCCCCACCCCAGCTGAGTGAGGTTCAGGCTAGCTCCTGCTCTTTGAGAGTGGGAAGGCAAAGTGACTCAGAGCACGTTTGCTGCTTAGGGGTCAAGGACAATAATTATGTCAGGCTAAGAAAAGTGGAGGTTAGGTTTATCCTCACTGACCTGTTCAGTTTCTGTTTCCAGTTATGTGTAAATAAAGCAAGTGTGTGAATAGCTTTGCATCTACCTTTTCGCATGCAGTTATTGCAGTTGCTTGTGCAAATCTGACAAGTTTGTATGCAAATGAATATTTCCTGTGAGTCATTTTCCCATGCAAATGCCCATTTTCCATGAGAAGTATGATAATCGTGCATTCATAGAAGCTGGGAAAACGTGCGTGGGACCTTAAGCTTTGCTTCATGGAATTCAGGCACGAAGTATGCTGAAAAGGAGGGTTGAATGTGCAAATTGCGAGGTAGGTTACAGTCAGGAGCAGACAGAACCTTTCTTTTTCTTCATTTCTGAAGAAATGGTTGTGCCAGAAACCCTATTTCTCCTTTAGCTGGCTGCAAGTGATAAAGTGCCATCAATGAGAAATGGCTTGTTTCTATGGCTCTGAGCCACAGAACAGTATAAGCACATCCAGCTGCCAAGAACTCCTACAAGCTCAGCCCCATTCCCCCCACCCCAAACAACAATGCTTTGCCAGTTCATTATGTTTTAGTCAGGTAGGTGTTCTGTGCATTGGTGCCGGCACATACATTTCACATTAGATCATCTCTTCAGAAACAAATAAGCCCCCAAAGATACATGCTTATGCAAAGACTAAGACATAATGGGAACAATTCAGGATTCCTTTTATAGACGTGATCGTCTTATTTTTCTCTCACACACACATAAGATGAGGTGAGGTATTTGTTAATCAAATTTAGCTTTCAAAAGCCAAATGTTTACCTCTGCATTCATTCTTTATTCATCAATGGTCTCTTTGTGAAGTGTGCTGATTAACATATAGTACAGAAAACAAAACTCTCCCCCCTTCCTCCTCACGTAGATCACCTTCTGAAAAGTGATTATCTTTAAAAGAGATATTAATTCTTTTTTGTGGTTTTATGTCTTTCAACCTGCTAGTCGATGGAAAGCCTTTAATCAAATTTACAAATAGGCTTCATTTTCCTTCTCTGCAGATTCTTCAGATGTGAAAAAATCACAAGATCATGCCCCAAAGTCTCACACCAAGAAGCACAGTAAGTCATCATCCATGTTTATAATGGTTGGTTGATGGAAGGAAAAGAAACACATTAAAATCAAATCCCCTTCAGGAGGGAAAAGGAAACATTTTGAAAGCAAAACTGGTCAGATTATTATTGTGATTGAATCCTCCAAGGACCTGACTGGTTTTAGTACTGTTTGCTTATGTTATTTTTGACTCAGTATTGTTATACATTTAAAATTGTTTCTATCAATGAGGGCTTGTGGGGAAGCAACCAGAAACCAGTTGCCTCTGCCCTGTGTTGAGCTGGGCTGGCGGACTGGAGTACAGGAATGATGAAGGAAGCCCAGGTTTAATCAGGAATATCTCTGTGTGGGCATGGCCATGCTCGTGCCCGTGACTGCTGAGTACAGCGTGCACCAGAAACCCCACTCAGCATCTATCTCCTTGCACAACTTCTCACACACGGCATCACGAGCAAGCACCTGCCTCTCAATCATGCCACCTTCTTCTTCTCTGATATGACAGTCTTTCCACTCCCCTCATCTGATTTTTCTGCTAGTTTTGATTCAACCTGACTCTGAAGACAGGTTACCATAATTGTGGTTTCTGGACATAGTTCTGTTAATGTACTTTACTGAGATTTTTATGCTGAAAATATCTTGTGTGTGTCTTCTGCATTCTGTGTCATTCCCTATTTTTAATAGAAAACCTTCATACTGGTCATTCACTGCATTGTGTAGCATTTGATTTCATCCTGTTTCAATATGGTCTCCAGTTTATCTGTCTCTTCCTGACTCCTCTTCTTACCCTGCCTGTGACTTTGCCCAGCCAGAATTCCTGAACTTTTTAGCTGCACACAGATACTTTGTTTCTTTTTTTTGCATGTATATCAAGGTTGCTAATGAAATTATTAGATAGGACTGGTCTGAAGACAGACCTGTGAAAAACTGAGGTCACTTGGTTTGTTCAGCTTAGAGAAGAGAAGGCTGAGGGGTGACCTCATTGTGGTCTACAACTTCCTCAGGGAGGGCAGCGGAGGGAAAGGTGCTGATCTCCTCTCTCCGGTGACCAGCGACAGGACACAAGGAAATGCAATGAGTCAGAGGAAGTTCAGATCAGGCATTAGGAAAAGGTTCTTCACTGAGAGGGTGGTCAGACACTGGAACAGGGTCCCCAGGGAAGCACCAAGCCTGTCAGAGTTCAAGGAGTGTCTGGACAAAGCTCTTAGTTATATGATTTAGTTTTAGGTAGTGCTGCAAGGAGCAGGTAGGACTTGATGACCCTTATGGGTCCCTTCCAACTATTATATGATTCTAAGAACGCAGTCACAGCCTTGGCAAATAGAAAAGGCCACCTCACCAAGCTGGGCTAATCCCCTACATTACCAGTTTCTTCAGTACTACTCTGTATCATGATCTACTGAGTATGTTACTGATGTCCAGATAGACTAGGTCCACCACATTTTGTTCATTCTAGAAAACAATTATAATAACAAAGAAAAATATTGGATTAGTTGACTGAAATCTGCTTCTACTCATGCTGCACTGTATACCATTTTCTACTTGCCTCCACATCTTTAGCTTGTTTCCTTCTTAATTTCGTCTAAACCCTTGCATCCTTTTGAAGTCAGACCAAAGGATTGCTGTCTTTCTGGCCCACCTTGTCACTGTGTTTGTTATTCCTCATTCATAAACTACTCCATCTGACTTGTTGGATTTATTTAATCTTTTTTTCTTTTTGACCTGGGCTTTCCGGTGCTATCTCTACAGTAACTGTGGGATGGATTTGTGCTTAAACTGGGAGTTCTACCTGTTGACCTTAGAGATCTGGTTTTGCCTTTTCTGATATCACGGTCAAACATTTTATACCCTTTTTACATACGATTTTGGCTAGCCAGTTTTGTCACTATCCCTCTATCCACTCTACATCTTCTTCTTTAAGTCTACGTTAGAGACCTGAGATCAAATACTCACTGATGAGGAATGGCGTTTCACCTCCTTTGCCTTCTGTCTGTCTTTTAAATGCATGGAAATTCAGTGCCTGCTTCATAAGTATCTTGGCTGTTTCACATACCACACAAAAATATCAGGTTACAAGTCATGCTGTAGAAGAATATCAGGAAAAATGGGCAAATGAGATGAGGGGAAGACTGAAACATGTTATCTTCAGGGGAGAAACAGGGCCAGAGGCAGAAGGAAGCAGTGGGTGCTTTGGACTCTGATTCCCCTGCCTGCCACGGGGCTCAGACTGCCAAAGGCTGACATTCACCTCCAGCCTCAGTGTAAAGGCTGTCAGCATTTTTTGCTTCTGTATCTCTGAGGAGGGGGTCCTGCACTCCAGCAAGTATGGCCTGTCCCTACCAAGTGGGACATTGGTAGATGACACACTGTAAGAACATGATGTAAAAATGGCAAGCATAGACTGGAGAGCTCTTTAGACACTCCTTCCTCCTTCCCCCTTTCCTCTTTCAGACCCTCGAGGAACTCATCTTTGGGAATTTATTCGAGATATTCTTCTCAATCCTGAGAAAAACCCAGGATTAATCAAGTGGGAAGACCGGTCAGAAGGTGTCTTCAGATTTTTAAAATCCGAAGCTGTGGCTCAGCTCTGGGGAAAGAAGAAAAACAACAGCAGCATGACTTACGAGAAACTCAGCCGGGCTATGAGGTGAGCTGAGATGTTGCTGTAGAAGACTGGGGCACATAAAAAGACCTCCTGAATGGAGAATCTGGTTGACTTTTAAAAATGAATTGTCAGCGGAACCACTTTCTTTCTTTGACAGCTGAGTCTTTCCCACTAATTTTGAGATTTTAACATTATGTTCTTCTTTGTCTTTTCTTTCTCCTCCTGTTCCTGTGCACTATAATATATAACATATATATATGTGTTATATATATATAATATACAATCTGTTGCTGTCCACCCAAACAACTGATGTATGAAGGAAACATGGTTGTAGTAAACTGAAAGTTCATGTGCTACTGAAGTGGGAAGTGCCCAGTAATGGCCAGAGACCTTGTTATTTCCATCAGTGTTCAGAAACTAGACATATCTCCCACACATTATATTAAATAGGCTTACAAATTCTATGCGAGGATTTTCTTTGCTCTTTGCTTTAACATTTTGAGCATTTTTCCATAATCTATGAAAGTTCAAAATGTATTTTTAATTGGAAGCTGAGATTCTTTCCTGGTCTGATTTCAGATCCTGGTTTATCTGAAAAAAAACACCATGAAATCTCACAAGAGTGTGATAAATATGGCAATATGCTATGACCTGAAATATGGTGAAATTCAAACTCAGAAGATAAGTAATATAAAGTAAAAAGAAGGCATCATTTTTTTCTTCTCTGTCTTTCAGTTATAATAATCTTAGGTATTATATATCTTTCAATAGACATAAAGACTTTTCAGCTAGCCGAGGGATTGCCTAGGTGGCAGTGGCCTTTTAGGACTGTAGGTGAATTTAATCTTAAATCTTTTTCTATGTTTTTATTTTAACAGATACTATTATAAAAGAGAAATCCTGGAGCGTGTGGATGGTCGGAGATTAGTATATAAATTTGGAAAGAATGCCCGTGGCTGGAGAGAAAATGAGAATTAAATATGTCAAGAAATAACATTTAAAACACCTGGATGTAAATATTCAAAGACTATTTTCTTATATTTATGTACCAAACCGGGGTGAAAAACCAATTCTACTTCTGTCGGGAAGAAGGAACTTTATCATTATTGGTGTTAAAATTATTTTATTTGAAGTATGTCCTGTATGGGGAAAAAATGTACACAGTTTTCTGTGATATAAGATAACATTATAGAATTATGATTATTTTTCCCTTCTTGTGAAGTTTTTCTCTTTTTTTTTAAATCATACAGGCATAATGTGATTTATGAGTCATGTAAAGAAAGGGAAGGAGTGAAATACTAGGGCATTTAGGGAGTATGATAATCTACTTTGGAAGGCAACTATAGATGGAGGAAACAGTAAAGCATCTCTGAGCCAAGTAGTCTTCTTCCATAGTCATCTGGTTTATAGATTTCTTTGGCCAATATCACTTGTTCCTTCCCTCCTCTGATTTCTGAGTGTTTTAACACTTTGCTGGCTTCCAGTTGCTTTTGTTAAGTCAGATGGTGGGCTCCTCTTCAGTTATCTTATCCCAGCCACAAAGAGCTCTGCAAGGTGTCTGTCAGCGTTTATTTGGAAGAGCCCATACTACCTCCATGACTGGGACCTTCTTTTGTAGACTGAAGTTTAGGACCTGACTTTACGTGGTACTGAGTATTCTCCCTAATCTCCAAAGGGCATTCAGCTCATCCCAGGAAAAGGGCTATTTGTTTTTAACTAACATCTTTGAGGTGAACTGCAGGAAGAGAATCAATCTCAGGGACCAAAAGCTATTGAAGGAAGATGATTGTTTTCTGACTGGGCAGACTTACTAAAAGGCACCATTTTCCAAGTAGAAATATTAATACTCCTTCCACTCTCTTATATTCCTAATTAAAGCATTGAAATCCATGCCATGTGAAGCAGTGAGGAGGGCAAGCAGAACATATATTAATCCCACAATATGAGAGACAGTCTCCCCAGTTCCTTCAAGTGGTATGGTTCTCCTGGCAGGTCAAGTTTCAATTGGACAGATACTTTCAAAAAACATTTGAGGAATGCAAAGCTTCGTTGTGTGTCAAATAGTTCCCTTTGCTTCTCTCAAGTCTAACTGTATATTTTATTTGTATTTGTCAACTGTGCTTGGGATTCCTAGTTGGAGAAAAAACCATGAATGTAAAGACGCTGAGATTTTGGGGACTTTCAGACCTGGGCCAGTATTTTGGGCTCATCTCTTAGCAGTGCTATGTGGAGACTGAACATTCATTGGCAGCTTTTTATTTCTCCACATCAGAAATGCTTCCTGCTGGCACCAAGCACATGCAGAACATGGGGAAATAAAAACTAGAGGAGGCAGCACTTCACCAGGTCACTGAGTACGTGAGATGTGGGAGCTGAGAAACAGGATTTTCTTGGTGATGTTAAGAGAGGTGAAACCAAGATTGATTCCAACTCACTTTTTCAGGGATGGTGAATTTGGAAAACAAGAACAGGGGCTGAGAAGTCTATGACAAAAAAAAAAAAAAAAAAAAAAAAGGAAAATTAAGAATATAAATCCATCTGATATCCATTTCCTCAGGCGTCCCCTGGATTTGAATCCATATTAGTTTGAAATGCAGCAAGGTGCAGCTGGAGGTTATAGGATATTCCATTTTTTGTTTGTCTTAAAAGGAAATAGAGATGAAACCAAGAGACAACAGAAGTATCAATATAAAGGGTATCAAATGAGCTTAGCAACAATTTGTAGGCAAACACAAGAGCCTAACTTGTTATCTACGCTTGTAGGACATGTCAAACAATAACACCACCTCCTACAGTGTGTATGCCAGAGCTGTCACCATCAATTACCCATACATGACAATTTTTACTTTTCATAACCTGGGTGGAGAGAGGTTCATCTTATTTACAAATCAAATAATAAGCCTCTGTACTTCAAAGCATTTTTTTCTCTCAGCCTCTCTCTATCTCTTTTCTTTCTTTTTTTTTTTTTTGTCTGACTGTGCTAGCCTTGCTTGCTTTTACACAACTCAGTAATTTCCTTTTTTTACCTTATTTAGCTACATTTCACTTCCTTTGCGATCACTTTGTAGTTCGTATAACAAGAACTGGGCCACCAGACGAGGAGAGCACTTTCACTTTGCTCCAAAGACCATTCCTTCCCCCGCTCCATGGTTATTTGAAGCCCTTTGCTCCTTGCTCTTCACCCTTCTCCCTCCCCCCTCCCCCAATCCACACCTTGGGTGAAAATCTGAAACCAGTGGTACTGTCACAAATCTGCAATACTGTTGTACCTTATCTCAGGTTAACATACAACTTACAGCAACTGATTGTAATACCTTCATAAAGCTGCTTTCTACCAGATCTCTCATCAGACTTCTTGGGAGATAAAATGAACTTGTGATATACATATGTCACCACTTGGTTACTGAGCAGCAGCTAAACCTGCTTTTAAAGGTTTTTAAAGATAAAACTTTATTTAGAAGGATACTGTATAAATCTAGAGAGTGATTTACGCTGGGGTGCAGTATAAATGCCAGTCTTCTACTGTCATGCCTTTCAGCACGTGGAAATCGTGCAAGTTTCTATTCCAACTCTGCAGAACTTTTCAGACTGGGTACTTGTCATTCAGCATTACAATAGCACAAAGTTGGAACAGAAGCCAGCCAACATTTACTCTGTTTTACAAATATATTAACCTTTGCCTAAGACAAACACAAAGAACTCTTTAAAACTACAGTTCTTGCCAAGGACAGATGCAACCAACCAAAGGGAGTCTTTTTACCAGACCCAAGCAAATGGAGAAAATGAAGCGATGAATGTTTGTGTAAATTACTATTTAAACAAAAAGCATTTCTGATTGCTCTTCTATTTTATATTTCAGAGGCTGAGCGATCATATTTTTAGATGCGTCCTTTAAGTTAGCAGGTGCTGAACTGGTAGCACCATGTGTATAGATTTTTATTGTACCATAATTTTTCACATGTATAAAGTTCTAGATAGGAAAGTATATTATATTTATATAGTTACATGCAAATCATAATGTCAAAGGTGTTGGCATGAGCACTCTCAAACTGTATTTTCTGCACAACTTACTCTAAAAACGTCCTGAGAAACTGTATGTAGGCTGGTGAACTGCACAGACATTAAAATGTTTAGTTACATTTTCATCTTTCTTTCATCACTGCATAATTCCTGCTTCCTTCTCACAGCATCATCTTCAATGTATAGGTGCGGAAACAAATCCACATTAGATATTTCACTATTGCCATTGTAAATCTCAGCTTGGAGACTTATGTATCACAAAATGGTTCTAAAGACTGTTTCTATTTTTGTGGATATGATATAAATTCAAATAAAACACTCATGAAAGGAATTTTCTGATGAATGTTTATCTTCACTTTCTTATGTCTTGAGATTGAAAATAACTAATATAATTTTTTTCAGTATTGGAGAATATTTCCGTATTGGCAAAAGGACTGATGTAACTACCACAAAATCCAATGGCTTAATTTTCTGATATGCTGAATGGCCCACCTATTGTGAAGATACTGGATTTCCAAACCTGTTTTATGTCTCACAGGCTTCACTGGAATACTTGATTATGTCGACACAGCTAGATTGCCTTTCTTGTTTGGCTGCTAAACTTTACAAAGGTCTTACTTCAGCACTGATTTAACTTCAAGGTATTTTGAAGTGTGTGCAAGGGCTAGGCTGATTAAGGATGCCAATTACTCACGCTGAGCATTTCCTTTACTGAATCAGAGCAGCTAAAACTGTGAAATCCTGTCCTTCATGCTATTTTTCCATCTAAGTGGTGGCTACAAAACCACTCAATGAACAAAGGAACACCTCTCACAATTTGGTCTGCAGCTTGAGGAAAAAAAGTGAAAGACCCTATAATTAGGAGAAAGTCAAAGTGAGCCCGTATGGCATTTACACTCTGTGGCTGTACCAGTATGGTGCAAGGGTGCAGTGCATGGACCTGCAATGAGCCAACCTGTAGCCCCTGCTGCTGCCTTGCTGGGTATCCCAAGCTGATGGGCGGCATGGGACACCACGACGGTGCAGTGTGACATGCCTGCTGCCACAACTGTGCTTGTCGCTGTTCCAGCATGTCTAGACTTGGGCTTGAATCTCAAACTGAGAGCTTCACTGCAATGGAACAAATCGCACTGTCGTGCTCTATAATCTGCAAACATGCTTAATTTTAAGCAAGCAGGTGATTCCACTGCATTTGAAATTATGTATATGGATGTTTGGGGATGGTGGCTCTAAAAGTGTTCAGTCTGTATTGAATCAGCCTATATTCGAACTCAGAATTTTAAGGGGCTCCAAAATTATGTCCACCTAAGTAGGAGAATATGTTTGAATTTTAAACACAGGTACAAACCCCATGTTTAGCATGGAAAACCATGCCAGCACCCAGAAACGGTTGTCACAGTTTGAGAACCCAAGCCAGGTTTCAAAAGGAATTGGAACCAGATTTCAAGCAAGTTCAGACTGAATTTTAAATAAGCACACAGCTGTTTTTCCAGTAAATGGTCAGGCCTTTTGTTTCAAGCAAGCTGAGGCCAATATTTGAGACAAAGACAAATGAGAATATTGTTTGGAAACATGCAAATAAATGCACACTTAAAAAAACACAAAACTCTTCTTTGGTTGTTACTTAAAATCAAGTAAAACTTCAGGTTTTCAGCTGTGTTCTAAGGCCATATGAAATAAAAACTCAAGGAAAAATTCAGAGTTTGCAAATCCTGTGTAAATTGAGAATAAGTAAGAGGAATACTGTAAACAAAGTCTAGCAAGCTACATCTAAACCTGATACAAATTTGTGAGCATTTCTGCATCAAGGACGAGTGAGAATTGCTTCAGGTAAGTGAAATCTGTTACTGCAGAAAGATGAGCAATTGAGTTACCAATACTAATAGCTTCCAAGAAGTGTAAGTTGGACAATTATAATAATTTGAAAGATAGATTATCTATCTGGGTTTTCAGAATTT